TCCCTCCCTCCCTCCATGTCCATCAGCCCTTTGTCCCCCCATCCCAGAGTCATCTGTGCCCCACTGCGTATGTATATGGGGTCCCAGAGCTTCAAGTTGCTGTGCTCCACATGCAAACTCCAGCAAAACTGCTGTTATTTGCCCTTTATTTCATTGCTGTCGCTCGGGTAAGCCTGCCTGGATTAACAGCAACAGTCGGCTTTGCAGGACTGAACTCTTGGCTGGATGTTGGTGAAGCTGGATGGGGGAAGAAGATAAAGCCTGAGGTGTTTTCCTAACATGTATCCTCCTTTTCTTCTGCAGCCCGGGGCAGCCTCCAGCCATGGTCACAGGGTGTCATCGCAGTGGCTGTGTTTCTGGTCCTGGTGGCCATCGCTTTCGTAGTTAATAGGTTCTGGTGTAAGAAGAAAGTGTAAGTGTGGGAGCCCTGGGGGCTGCTTTGGGTTGGGCTCAGTTACCTCCGCACGGGTCACTTCCAGCTGCCTTTGTCCCCGTTCCAGGGCTGGGAACACCGTGATTGCTGCCAGGCAGGAAGAGCAAAGACTCCCTGTTCTGGTCTCCCTGTCCTCTTCCCGCTGTCCTGGTCTCTGCTCCCTGTTACTTATTGCCAGGTGTGAGCGCACACGCTCTGTCCCCACTGCTCCCTGTGCAGGGGCACCCCCAGACAGAGCGCTCGGACGCTACTGCAAGAAAGACGGGAGAGCTGCAGCGTCGTGGCTGGTTTACACGGGCACATGTCTCGGGGGGCTGGCCTGAGCCTGCTTTCCTATGGATTTGGGAGTGCAGTTCCCGGGTGCCATACATCCACGGGAAAACAAGCCCAAACCAGCTTCGTTTGCAAAGCAGACAGGGCCGAGCCAGCAGAAGGCACTGAGAGGAGCTGGGAGAGGAGGGAGGTAGCTGAGCCGTGGCAGTGCTCTCCACCAGGAGCCCATGGCACAGGCAGGTGGGGTGGCCTTACTCATCAGGAAAAGGCTCTGCAGGGCTGGTTACCTCTAGGCGGGCCGCGCCCCCCCCCGGCCTTCTCCTCCGGCGGAGCCGACCCAGGCCAACTGGCCAAGTTGCAGCAACTTGATCTTCGATCTGAGCCCAAAGTCAGCAAGGGATGAAGAGCAAAAGTGCCCTGTAGCCGGTTCCTCTGCACCGACCCAGGTGCTACGGGCTTTGCGCCCAAAGGTGCTGGAGTCTTCTTGTATCTGCATATCCCTGCAGCCTCTTCAGGCTGAGGAGGTGGGGACTTGGGATGTACCCTGATGCTCAGCAGGTCGGCTTCTGCCCTAGATGTCCCTAAAGGGGGCCCTCTGGGACGTGTTCAGGGCCAATGTGTAATGCAAGGTGTGTATATATATTTATAAAGTCTGATTTGCAACTGCAGTCTTTGTTTCCCAAAGAGGAACCTTCGTCCTCAAACTGAAGGAGCCCCCAGCCCATGGAGCAGCAGGCAGGGATGGTGTTTCCCACCTCTGCCCATGCCCAGCTGCCTCTTCCCAGCCTGAAGGATGAGGATGCTGAGGAGGGCTCAAGGGGGGATAGCGACTTGTTTTAATTAATCTGGCCTCTCTTCAGAAGAGCCGGCAGCGAGGCTCGGCAGCCTGGCGTGCCGCCAGCCCCGTGCTGTCACTGTGACAGCAGCTATCAGCTCAAGCCGCTGCCTGTTTGTGCCAGTCTGTTCCTTGGAAAAGCCTCTGAGGTCGCCCTTGGGTGAGCACTGGAGGAGGCAGGGATGTGCACGCAGGGTGGACCTGCACCCACCCTCCGCAGCTGAACCCTCTCAGGTGCAGTTTGTTCCACAGGCTTGCTCCAGAGCTGAGCTTCTAGGCTCCAGTTGAGGTTGAACACCCAGTCCCTGCTCCGTGGTTCCTTCTGTGAGCCATCCAGACTCGCACCCGAGAGGAAACCACTCGGTTTTGCACGCGTGGATATCACACACGCACCCCTCCTGCACCAGGGCCGCGGCGCCGGCAGAGCCTCAGCGTTTCTCCTGATGTCAGCTGGGACTGCAGGGGACTATTTTGCAATGGATTACATAGAAGAAGACTGGAAAAACCAGTTAGTGGGAGAAAACAATCCCACATATTGATTGACAAATGAGTCTTGCTGGCTGCCAGCCCGGCACTGGGAGTATCGGCTCCAGAGCCGGGGGTTGGCACTCGGTGTCTGGGCATGGCCCCTGCAAACCTGCCACGAGGGCATCTCTCCTCACCCTTGTCCTGCTGAGGTGGGTGTCCGAGGCCAGGATCACACATCCAGGTCCCTTATCACCTCCGTGGCGTTGGAGCAGTCTCTTTCTCTGCACTGTCACCACCACGAGCTGCTCCCTGGCACAGCCCTTCTGTTGCTCTCTCTCAGCTCCTCTCTTCTCCCCTCCAGGGAAAATGTCGAGACAGTGGTGAGCGTCGAGGACAAGCGGGATGCTGTCGTGTCCAATGGCCATGAAGGCAGATACCTAACCTCTGCAGCCGACTTCAGGTGAAGGACTTGCTCAGACCTCCTCCCCATGTCTCCCAGGTTGTTCCTCCAACCCCCTGGGGACAGCTCAGACATGCAGAGCCACGGTCTCTCCCACTTGGGGTCTGACATGTCCCATGAACCTGGTTTTGGGGCTTTTTTCCTCTTCAGGGGATAAGGAGAAGGCAGCAAGTTAGTATCCCCTCCTCCCCAGTCTCTTATCATCCCTGCAGCTGATCCCCGTGGTCCATCCACCACCTTGCAACCCGCTACACCACATTTTTCCTATGCTACATCACATCTTTCAAGCAGGGGAAACCACCAAAAGTGGCCATAGGTCACCACGCAGATGCTGACTGTCAAAACAGCCCTCGCTAGATATTAGAGCAATTCCCACCCCACGCTTGGCTCTCCTCCTGGCAGAGGTACCCCTCCTGCCCTGCCCACCTTGTCCCTTGCTCAATGCATGGCCAGCACCAGCACAGTCAGGGCATCGACGGTGGCTTTGGGGGAGGCTGGTCTTGCTGCAGCCAAGCTCACCGCTGTGCTTCTCCCTCCCGACGCAGGTCCAGAGAGAGCCATCACGCCTATGAGAACACACTGGAGCCTGAGGAGACGGTGATCACCACCGCCATGTAGCAGGCACCTCAAGCCACCCTCCTTTCTCCTCTCACTTTGCTTCCCGCTGTCATGATGGGCATTTTCACAGGGACCCTCTGCACTGGCTTCCCCTGTGCACAGCGGCTCCCCAGCCGCTCCATGACACCACCATCTCCTGGTCTTTTCCCTTCCCACCTGTGGGACGTGCTCTTCTGCCTCGGGGGCCGGTGTCCACATGGGCATTGGTCCTTAGGAGAGGTCTGGTCACCCCACCTGGTTGGCGAGGTTGATGTCCCTGGTGCCAAGGGAAATCTGACCTGCTCCAGACACAGAGGGATCCCCACTGGGTGCCTGGGACCTCCCCACATCCCCAGCCATCCTCCGGGGAGCTCCTGATGGAAAATGCACTCTCTTCTACCCATTTCACCCTCCTTTTTACGACCTACACCATGCATTTTAGTGTCAGAACAAACTTTCTCCCCTGTACATATCTCCCCTGTGAGCAATAAAGAGAATTGTTGCCCATACCACAGCAAAGAGGGTTGTTTTGCTAATCACCCAAAGGACTTTCTGGCATCTCAAAGTGCTCCCAGCCTTCGGGTATTTGGGCAGGGAGGGACATCGGGGTGGGTGGGGGTGGGGAAAGGCAGTGCTGGGGTGGGAAGGGTGCTTAGACAGGGGTCAGCATCCCCATTTCCCCTGAGGTCCCTCCTGGGTAGGATCCACCTCTTCTTTCCTCACTTGGATGAAGCCAACATCACTTTTGCATGTGTCTGTGTGTCAACAAGGAAGAGAAAAAGGTGGAATGTTTTTCTGCTCAGCATTTGGACCACCCCAGAGCCACGAAGGGCCGTATGGGGAGGTGAGCATCATTCCCTTCCATTTTCCAGCTAGGGAGACTGAGGCAGGGCACCAACCCAGCACTTCCCAGTGCTGCTTGATGGGTGAAAGGCAACGCTCCCTGAATCCCACTGGCCACAGGGCACAGACCCTCAGCCAGCTGGGGACCATTCCAGGGCTGGAGACTGCGAGTGGCAATCCCTTACTGGTGTTGCCAGTATGTGGCTGGGGGCTGCTGTGGGCAGTGCTGGCTCTCCGCGGGATGGCTGGCCATGGTGCAACCTGCTGCAGACGGGCTGTTCATTAACCAGGGTCTGTTCTTTGCTGCAGTGGGGACAGCGCTGCGGCCACCATGGGAGTGACGAGCGCTCCCAAGCCACCACATTTGCAGATTGAAATGAGAGACCTGCAACGCCTTGGCCTTCCCTGGGCCAGCAGTTGCCCAGATGTCATGAAGGGTCCTCCCCTTGACCAGCAAGGAAAGGGTTAAGGTGCTCTGCAATCAAGGGCAGCCCAGGAGCTGCAGGTGGAGCAGGACTGGGAGGGATGGGATGGGATGGGATGGGAAGGGATGGGATGGGATGGGATGGGATGGGATGGGGATGGGAGAGGATGGGATGGGATGGGGGGTTTATAAGAGGGGAATTTGTGGCTGCCACTGGATTTGGGGGGAACAGGGTGGTTTTGGGGCTCTGCTGTGCAAGTGGGAGGAGGTGGCAGGAGGACATTGCAGGAGGACATTGGATGACTGAGCTATCTCTGGCTCTCACTTTCTGCTGGGCATTGGAGCAAGGGCAAATGTTATCCCCCCTGTGAAACAGCAGCTGTGGTAGGTTTGGGTCTGGTGGGAGCCCTGCCGTCTGCTCAGGAGGTGCTTTGGAGGCCCATTTGCAGGCAGCGATGCCAGAAACAGGCGGTGCGGCGCTGGGGCTGGAGGTGCTGCTTTGCCTCTCACTGGCAGAGCTGCTGCTCTGCGTGTTTCAAAACTGAACAGGCTCTTCTGCTGCAAGGGCTGTCCCCTGCTCCTCTGCACCTGACCTTAAAAGCCCTGAGCCTGTCCTGGAGGAGGTACTGCCCAGCATGGCACAGGCAGTGGGCTTCTTCCTCAGGCAGGGGCTTTGCAAAACACCCTGTTTTCCTACGGCTCTGAAAACTGCTGGGTATTCCCCAAAGCAAAGATATGACAGCCCTGGTGGGGAGCTCAGCCCTAAACGAGCCACTTCCCACTGCCGGGAGCCCTCTGGGATGAAGCCCGGGGCTGGACCTGGACCCTGGTGCCACCACCCACCACGATCTGCTGTCTCACTTCCTACAGGTGAAGCTGCTGCTGTCCCCAGTGGGTGGTAACAAAAAAATTCAGGCATGGGAGTAGAACAGGTGCCTTCCAGTAGAAGACCCACCCTGAAAGGCATCTCCCCAAAGAGCGTCACGTTGGCAAGTGTTTCGAAAACACACTCAAGACTCGATGTTGATAAATTACAGCTCCAGTTGAGAAATTGCACAGGGGGAGAAGAAAACAGATAGAAGGGTTGGAAGGGTCAAGCCCTCGGGTGTGGAGGCACGGCGGCTTCCGTCCCCAACATCACGACAGAGCTGTTCCCTTCCACCACCACCTTCACTTGGGCAGCCGGAGGCTGAGCCAGCCCCAGGCTGGGTGCTGGACCTCCCCACTCGTGCCCCTGATGGGTGCTGCTCCCCTGACTTTTCCCTCACAGGTGCCAAACGTCAGGCGGGCTTGGAAAAAACCAGCTCCCCGGCGTTCAGCAGCAATGCTTCGCTCAGCAGGGTTTAAGGAGGATTAGCCATTGCACGTTCCCGCTGCGTCAGCACTTTGGCTGGGGGCTGGGGGTGTGGCAAGTGGAGGGGAGCCCATTAATTTTTACCTCTCGGTTGCAAAAGGAGTTAGAAACAGCATCCTTATAATGAGTAACAGCGGGAGTTTGTTCCCTGCCCTGTGCACACCCGGAATACGTGACCGATGCCCGAGTGGCTCCTCTGGCAGGGCCTGGAAGCGGGTCTGGAGCGGAGGTGTGCTGGGGGCTTGGTGGGTCTCAATGTCCCTTTCCTCATGGATCCCTCCCACGGCTGTAGGTCCAAGCAAGGTGACGAATGGGGCATTACCGCTGTGTGTTTTGGGCTAGCTCAGGATCCCTGGTGCTTGGTCTTATCCCAGCCAGTGCCCCTCCAGAGTTCACTTTCCTCAGGAAAACATCTTTTGCAAGAGCCACTGTGTCACCTCCCCGGTGGGATCTCACCTCTGCGCAGTCTGTGATGCCGCCCTGCCTCAGTTTCCCTTGTCTGTCAAGCACGACCTGAGGCTGGCTGTGCGAAGCGGGCTGCCTTCCCACGATCTGTTCAGTCAGCTCGCGGATTCTTCTCGGTGTGATCCTAAAAAGAACAAAACGAAGCGAACACAAATGAAATTTATTGTTGGAAAATCTTAATTAGATTTTAAGCCCCAAAGGGAGAAAAGTGAGGTATTATCTGACACAGCTAATGAGTGTTAAGGGTCCATTGTTATATTTCTTGTTTACCTTTCTGTGCTGGCTGATATGGCCGGGATCCTTGCCTGTACTGCCATAATTAGGATATCTCATCTCTTGCTGATAGGGTCGGGGATGCTGTTTAAAGCACAATGCTGTCTCATCCCTCCCTGGCAGGATGAGCATGACTGGGAAGGCAACTTCTGGTGTCCTGGTGCTCGCGCCCATCACGTTGACCCTGTGAGCTGGGGGATGCCCTCGGGAGCCAGGGCAGTGTCTCATAGCCCCCAGGTGATGGGCACCTCCAACAGCCTCAGTGACCTCTCCGAAGGGCCCTGAGCCAACTTGCTTGGGGCCAAATCCTCTCCAGCACCTTTCTGCACACAGCATGGGGGAGGTGATCATGTCCTCCACAAGTCACCCCACGCCCACTGATGAAGGGGAAGGACACCATGGGTACCCGATCCTAACCCTCACTCTGTAATGCCAGTATCTCCGAAGCCTGGGCTTTAGAAAGACATTCAGGATTGGGACCTGCTGTGGACCAGATAGTCTCCTTTTGGGCAGAAGATATTCAGAGTGGTCTTTTTGTGTTGGAAGATGTATCACAGCTTTCCTTTGTGGCCTAGGAGGGTGCAACTTCTCCCTTGGACCCCCAGATAGCAGGGCATCTTGTTGAAAGCCATCTTTACTCTGAGTCTGAGACTTCCCTCATCTCCCTGAGGTTAGGGAGGCTTTTTAGGCACAGAGGTTTAAGATGTTTCTGCTCCAGCTGTGACCACAACCCTGGAGCAGCTTGGGCAGGTGGACACCTACCTCATTCCTTGGATGTCCATGCACAGCCCAGTGGGTGTAGCTGCATTAAACCACCGGCAAAGGCAGGTTAGCAATGCCTGGCCCTGAGGATGTACGAATTATTGCAAGGTGGTTTAATTAAAGACTTGCCATGTACAGGTAAACCACTGCTGGAAGGACCACCAGCTCCAGCCCTGGCCACGAGCAGCATAGCCTGGGGTTTAGGTCCTGGCATCGGGCGCCTTGACTCCCAAGCGATGCGATTTGGACCTCCAGCAACTAAAGGGAGCCCATCCCACTGTCGTGGTCATTCAGGCTGGGGAAGGAGCCCAGCCATCCAGGTGGGAGCAGGAGCATGGCGTGTAGGGGTGGCAGTGTGTGTGGGCAAGGGGGCTGCAAAGTTTTTGGTCTTGATTCAAGCCACTGAAAGCCAGAAGTAAAATGCCATCCATTGTTGGTTTATACACCCGTAGTAGCCAAACAAACATCCCCGGAGCCTGTCCTTATCACTTTATTACACCTGCTAGAGTGAATAGATTAAAGAGGATGGGGGAGGGGGGAGAAAGCAGAAGAATCCAGCAGAAAAACTGGGTTTTGGGATTGTTAATTATTCTCTGGGGTCTCTAATCTTTAACTGGCAAACAGCATCACTAACTGTCTTAAAGCCCCTCCTGGAACATCCTGATAATAAGCCATCTGCATGAAGGCACCCCGTTATCTGCCCTCCTCCAGCCGCCTGTGACATGGCTGGAGTGGGAGATAATGAATGTGTGGTGTGTAATAACGACACGTCATTCATGATTATCGGCCTGATACCCAACCTTTTAGCTCCATTGTTTGTGCTTCAAAAAAGAAGAGAAAAAAAAGAGAGAAAGAAAGAAAAAATAAAAAGGAGGAGGGAAAGAAGAAAAAGGGGGATTT